GCACTGACTGTGCCGCTCTTCTGCCCTCCAACCCTTAAAAAACTCCAGACTCTGATGGAACAGAAGGCGCTCGGCGTTATGAGCTCCTACTGAAGATGGAAGAGAGTCTGCAGCTCAGGAGGTTGAGCTCGGCTCTCGCACCGCCTGGTCAGAGGATCACTTCCCCCCGGAGCTATAAACAGTGAAAATGTATGAAGAGAAGCTGCTGTGCTGCTTTGGATGGAAGTTTATCAGAAGGCAGCTTCACCGCGGGGCCCTCATCGTCTGTGAATGTAGCAAGAATGAAATATAAACTGTATTAACTGTGTAAACTGTTAACCCAGCGGGGTAGTGCAGGGCTTACAACACTTATAAATCCCCTCTGATGCACATCGTTCAGGGTGTTCAGCTGTCGAATGAGGAATAATTCAATCAAAATACATTATTATGTAGCTGTCTCACCTGTCTGTGGGCCAGTACTGACGCAGTCTGCACCTCTTCTGTGGCTAAAGTTAATTACATTATGATCCTTTACTGCCTGCAGTCAAACAGTCGTTCAGTGACAATGTGCAAATACTGCTGGCACATTTTAGGTGAACTATATATGCAAAATTGATCTTACATATCACTGTTAAAAAAATGTATAAAGATTATACCGATACCACAGAGTAAACAGCAGGAATAAATCCTTTTTTTTAAGTCGGGAGATTAAACACTTTATTATTTACACTTTATGAAAAAGTTGCTCTCTAAGTTTTTACACATTTTCAGCCTTTGAGGTCCTTTAATTAAAGATAAGCTTTACTTTGTGAGACAGAAGCACGTTCAGACAATAAACCAAAGAACTGTGCTGTTTTTCACAGCTGCAAGCAAACAGTCTGTGAAATACATCCCAAATTTATTCAGTCCAAATAAACCCTTCTATGTACCGCTTTAGAGAGTACTTCTGCCGAAGGTTCATTTTATTTACTTCAAACACACGCAGCCTTTTTACTTTGAACCTCGCTGCCCACCGTCAGGCTGAATCCTAAAAAGCCGCGACGTGAGTCAGGAATCCCAGACTCAGAAGAAGCAGAACAAACTACGTTTTATGGACCGTTTCACATCTGAAACAACCGAGTCGAGGGCAAAGACAACATGACTGAACTCTGCGGCTCACCTCTAATCTCCCTGAGTCACACAGATCAAGGACTCCACGATTCTCCACCTTTCTACCTCTGAAGTTGGCTACCTGGAGTCTGATAAACCCTGCAGATCTGGACCCTCTGGTCAGTGAAGTTTTCATAAGTAGGTGAGTGAGCGAGCATGGGAAAGTTCAAACCTGAAGAATCCCACGACCTTAAACACAACCCTGTAAGGTGGAAGCAAACATGGCTGCGAGGGCAGGTAGAGAGCTCCATTCATCTGAATATAAACCGCGTGCTGCGATATCCGCCAGCATGTCACGTAAATCAAGGCTTACTTCCTGTTTCCAGTAGGGGGCGCTATGAGTGTGACTGAATATTGATACGTAGCTGTATTCAGGGCGAGACTCTTATCAGACGTGTGAAGTTTCATTAAGATTGGACAAAGTAGACTGAAGTTATGGTTATCTGACGATACAGGAAGTATCGTCAGAATTCGACGCCACAAACACGCCGTCTGACGTACCGTCACAAAGAGCTCCACTTTTACTGATGATGGTCTTCAGGTTGCACTGACCAAATCTGAAACGGATACGATCAATTCCCTAGGAGGAGTTCGTTCAAAAAATGCACAAAAATGACCTCTAAGTTCAAAATAGCCGACTTCCTGTTGGGTTCAGGGTCCAAGAGGCTTCTTTGTTTTTCTAGTCGTGATAGATCTGCGTACCAATATTCATACATATCGGTGCCTCGGGGGATAAATTTAACCATCAACGGCCGATATATGGATAAATTTTGTGCCGTTGCTCAGCTTCCTGTTTATGACTGAAAACCACTTTGTCCATTACAAGCCTGAAGATCCTGAGTCAGACCAACCAGAAGAACTGGAAGGGGTTTATTACATTACATTATTGACATCATGTCTCAACAGAAAGGCCATTCAAAGTGCGAAAGATATAAAACATTAAGACAAGAAACAAAAGAAACTGAAAATACAAAGACAGTATGAAATTGACACAAATACAATTTTTAGAAAAGATGAACTAAACTAAAATAAGTTTAGAGCCTCTGAGTATTTCTGATTAGCTAACTTAAAGATGTGACTGTATTTATGTCACTTTTGTCTTTTAACAATCTTCAATCTAACATTAGCTAATTAGCAGTTAACACAAAGTACAGCTGAGACTCAAACTAAACTAATAATCATACAGCATGTTAGCACGTTTTAAACTAACAACTAACATCTAAAAATAACAATGTACGGACTCAAAAGATTAATGATCAAGATTAATGACTTTATTTGCAGAATTGATATATTTATAATTATATACGTATATATACGCTATATGCAATGCTGTGATTCAGTTTGTCTGTTAAATGCTGATCAATGTGAAATTAGAGACACATTGTACAGAATCAGGAGACTTCATTCACTGTTTCTTTAATTATGCTGTTCTTTCTCTGGTTTTATGTGACACACGAACAAGATAAAGATTTTTCCCCCCGAAGCGTCTAAAATAATTACAGTAATTAGAAATTATAATGTTGAGTTGCCTGTGGCGATTGTAATCTGAGAGAGGGAGGAAAAAAAATCACTCAACTCTGCACTCAGACAAATATTATTATTTTAACAGGAGGAGCCGAAGAGGACGGTGAGCTGTGACTGCCCCCTGCTGGCCGGAGGAGAAACTGTAAGGAGGACTGAACTCCACTGAAGGGCCGCTTATTCACCTTTTTCCAAAGCTTTCAACCACATCTCCTCAGCAGAGTGAGGAAGACTGTTGACCTCTATGATGAAGAGTGTTTGTGCATTTAATTCATCCGTCTGACGCTGGATCACGTGTCCTTAAACTCCCAGTAACTCAGTGAGTGAACGTCTCTTATTTAGTGAATCTGAAGCTAAATTAAGTCACTAAAATGACACAAAGGTGGAGGAAGTACTCAGATCTTTAAGTAATAACAGTACAGTGCAGAAATACTTTACATGTAAAAGTAAAGACTGTATAACGTTTATTGATTTATAGATTTCTGTTGGGATGTAGAGAGAAAAACAACAGTGCATCAACCTACTGTAGCTTTAAACCTGTAAATAAACTTTATTATTAGAACTCTGTTGATTATTATTATTTATTATTTTGTTGGTGAAACTGGTACTGCAGCCTGCACCAGTGGTTCCCAACCTGTGGGTCAGGACCCCTATTAGGGGTCGCCACAGCTTCACAGGGGGGTTGCGAGTCCTTCTTGGTTTTAAGGGGTGTAAGAAAACTTTAAAAATGTACACAGTTCGGATGATATCTCAGTGTTTTGTCTAGAAAAACCTAAATAAAATGTGTATGTATAATTGTTACAAAAAAATACACAATACAGACAGAGAATTGTGTGCAGTTATCATATTCACTGTTTTGGTTCATTGTTCAGTTTATCAGCTGTTCTCTGCTGTTATTGATATTGTTGAATATAATATGAAATATCTATAAAATAGATGAAAAGGAAAAAGGTTAGGAACCATTGGTTTACACTGTGAGAGCTGTGGAGTACAGACTGCAACCAAATAGTTTTTGCCCATTTCCACTGTAATTTTCATTTCACAAAATAGAAACCTAAAAAAAACCTACTTCTTCAAACTCCTCCTAGTCTGTGAGTCCGATCTGCATGAAACTGTGCACGTGGTCAACAGTTGTAAAAAGGACTTTAATGTTATAAAGTTGTTATAAACAACTTCCTGTAGGTTGCAGTCAAAACAGGAAGTGATGTCATACCTCAACATTGGTCTGTCCGATTAACATGAAACTCAGGCGAGTACGTCCCCGTGCCGCATCGAGGCTCTGTGCAAAATGTGGCTCCAATCGACCATTAGGTGGCGCTTTTGTTGCAAAATTATGAAATATGTTAAATGTATGTTTTCAGACGTCTCTGCTATTCTCAACCTGCGACCAGCATGAACAGAACCAACAGCAACAACACGATACGGGTCTGTGACTGTTCTGCTTTTAAATTGACCACACCAGCGTCACAAATGTTAAAATGAAGAAGTTTATTGGTGCAATCGTTTATTTACAAAAACTCTTCAAACCTCTGTACGGTAATGTTTTTCTATTTCATATGCAAAAGTATTTACACAATCTGTAAACAGGAACAGAGTCCAGGTGAGAACAAACAAACAAACGAACTCTGTATGAAGGTGCCAACGTGCAAAAACCATTAAAACCTTTAAAACCAGTACGAACAGATAATTAAAACTCTTCATGCAGAGTTTCATTAATACAGTCTGAACATAATGAAACAATAACAAACAGACTGAAGCATAAATACACTGCGAGTCATTGTAAATAAATAAACAACAAAGAGAAATAACACTGAACCAGGCATTCAAATATTAAATATAATTTAAATTATTGCTGTTTTATCTTTAGAATAAAGTCAATAAAACAT